AGTACAATGTGCGATGAGTTAACGTATCTTATCGATGTAATTTTAAGCAAATATATGAAAATTTTGGGATGTATTCGCGGAAACGGTTTGGGTGACTATTGACTTCCAGTGTTTCTTAGCACCGTCAGCCTCTAAGCTAAAGAAGCACGATTTGGACACAAAACAAGTCTTGGCTGCATTTATTCTAAGTGGAAAATCATGTAAAATAACATTTTCAATTGACTATTTCTTTAACATAGAGCCTTTACATTGTGTAGAGTGCTTAAAAAGGTTCTTCACACTGGCATCTCTTTTATACGTGGTTCTTTAAAGAACCATCCACTGGAAGGCTGGGAATCAAAAGTGATTCTCCTACGCACTGTCAATAAAAAGAGTACTGTACACTAAAGAGTTTTGTCCTCCAAAGTACAAACAATATAACTGCACCCTTAAAGAATTACAGATTTTGTGACAGTTTCTGCATAATTTAATAGTTAAGATGTCATTCAGATCGGCTTGTTCAGAATTCACAGTGGAGGTGGTAGGAACCAGACGTCTGAGGAGTTTAATGCCTTTAAAAGCTACATCATGGTAAGTTATTACACAAAACAGTCTGAAACAAGACTTTTTTTAAGATTAACTACTATTTACCATTATTAACATCACGGATAAAAATGTAGGTTCACTGGTCATTTTGGATAGTGAAGAAAAAGGCTATATTTGTGTTGTAGTCATCACAACCCTGGTTCCTATCACCACCACTGTAAAGAAATCTGAGTCAGCAGGTTTCTCTACAGTTGATGACTTCACATCAAACCACTCTGAATGACTTAACATCTCAGTGACTGAACTATGCAGGAATGTTGAAAAATCAGTGGAATTGCTATTTAAGGTCTACCTGGAAAACTACACTCTCATTTTTTATAATAGAAAAATAAAGTAAAAAGCCTGGAGTCAAATTAAAATACCTGCAGCAGAATACAGTACAATTACTAAAGGGCCATCGATTTGCATGTGTTTTTACTCCTTTTTTCTGTGAAATTATCCATTTTCATTTGTTTTCTCAAGATCTCGAATTTTATATTTGCATCTTTACATCACAATGAATGGAATGTTGTTTTCTTGAGATCTTGAGATATTTATGCTATTATCACAACATAACGAATGTTATCTCCATATAAGTGTTTATGTTACAATAGTGATATAAATAACTTGATCTTGTTAAATAAGATCTTGAGAAAACAACATTCATTTTGCCAAGATAATGACAAATATCACGAGAAAACAAATGAAAAGAACTCATCACGCCCCAAGGGTACTAAATTATACTGTAGAAAAGGCGATGGTTCTGTTTAGAACCATGAGTTCTCTGTAGAATCAATTTATGCTTAAATGGTTCTTTGAATGGTGAAATGTTTCACCATGCAAAGAACCATTTAAGCATGCAAAGGGTTCTTTGTGTGTTCATGGTTCTATACAGTACCATTGTCTTTACTAAAGAACCTTTGAAGAACCATCAAGAATGTACTGTATATAGAACAATTTCATGCTGAAACAGTTCTTTGCATGGTGAAACAGATTCAGACAGATGGAGAATGTGTTGTATATGGTTCTATATAGCACCAAAAACGGTTCTTCTATTTTTAGAAGCTTGGCATCATGTACGCTATTCTATGTACGTTCTACATAGAACCATACACAACACATTCACCATCAATCTGAAGGAAAATGTCACATCGCAAACAACCCTTTAAGCAGGCAAAGGGTTCTCTGAGTGTTCATGGTTCTTGAAGAACCATCATTTTTAAAAGCGTACAGCATATAGAACCATTTCATCCTGAAACGGTTCTTTGCATGGTGAAATGGTTCTTCAGGTTGATGGATGTGTTATATAAGGTTCTATATAGAACCTTTTTGAAAATGATTCTCTATAGCACCAAAAAGGGTTCTTCTATTGTCACGATGTCAAGCTTGTAACGATGGAATACTCTTTTTGGTGCTATATTGAACCATACACAACACATTCTCCATCAGTCTGAAGAACCACTTCACCATGCAAAGAACTGTTTAAGCATGAAATGGTTCTACATAGAACTCATGGTTCTAAATAGAACCATTGTCTTTGCTAAAGAACCCTCGAAGGGCCATATTTTTGAAGAATGTACAGTATATAGAACCATTTCTACAGTGAAATGGTTCTTCAGGTTGACGGTGAATGGGTTATTTAAGGTTTTAAATAGAACCTTCTTGAAAAGGGTTCTTCTACCGTTATGATGTCAAGCTTGTAACAATAGAAGAACCCTTTTTTATGCTAAATAGAACCATATACAACATATTCTCCATCAATCTGAAGAACTATTTCACCATGCAAAGATCCATTTAAGCATGAAATGAACTCGTGGTTCTAAATAGAACCATTGCTTTTATTATTTATTTTATTTTATTTGTTTCCCTTCATCTGAACTTTTGCGTTCTGCAGTTTGTTCTAAAGATTCAGTCCTGACACTTGTTTCGTGACAGTCGTCACACCAAGCCAGCCATAAAATGCAATTACACACCTTCCTGTGGGTGTTTTCTGAAACAGAAGCTGGGAGATGGTGATGAGGCGAAGTTAAACATTGACCCGGCCAACCGTGCTTAAACTCTGCAGACACACGGCGACTCGCAATGACCTGTGATTGTCGCTCCAAAACGTTTGCTATTCAGTAGCCTTTACTTCAGCTGTAAGTAAACGTCTGTACTGCATCCAAACCCGCCATCTACCAGCAGACCTCCAGATATCAAAGCAGGAGGACAGACAAACGGCCGATTGTGGGCTTTCAAAACGTTGACCCCGGCTTAAACTTGCGACTCGTGCCTTTGCTCTCCCCTCTGTTCTGAAGCCAAAGGAAATAAGGGGTTATAGGCAGTTCAGGCATGATAAGAATCTAAGGATGGAGTTCACGGAGAGGAAAGGTTATTTGAAGTTGAAGGAAAGGGAACTCATTAGAGGATTAAGCGAAGGGGGGAAGTCAGGCCTTGGGTAGCAAGTCTGCTACTGCAGTGCAGACAAGAGATCGAGAAGTACGCTAAGCCTCCCGTCTCCATCCTACATTAAGGCAGTTCTTTTGTAAGTACTTTATTTATTTTTGCAATCGTTCTCTCACTCGGAAGGCCGTGGCGAATAGAAAACTTTCAGAAACGTTAGGAAAGTCATTTAGTTGCTTTAGAATCAGCGACACAAAGAACATCTGCTGTGCTTGATTTCTTTTGATTCAAACATTTGTTTTGTCTACAGTCACCCAAAGGAAGCGCATATGGTAAAACAATATCCATGTCAAACAATCATTAAACAATTCACTTTTCATTATGAATGCCAAATTATTCTTTGCTTTTTTTGAACTACACGTCAACAGGTCGCCAAATCCTCCTTGCCATCTCTTTTCCGGTCATTGTTGGGAATTGGCAGAGGCCCTAACATTGTACCCTGAGGAACTAGGTTTAAACCATGATGCACATACTCTGGAGGCTCAAGAACTTAATATACCAGATTTAAGGAGGAACAGACGGACGAAGATGTGAAAGTGGTCCGAATTCTGCAGTTTTAGCGTGCGAGAATAAGGGGGCAGCTAATTTTTTAAAAGTTAGACAACTAAAAAACTGAAGGCGCCAGTCAGGGTTTCAAATTTGTGACTCAGTCAGTCAGTGAATGCTAGATATTTATTTACTCAGAGTTTGTATTAACAACTAAAAACTCATTTACTTGAAATGATACTGACTTATGAAAGACAGATTTATAAATATGTAAACATGCTAAAATTTGAACAGGGACGGAAAATACTTGACTCTACTTCGTCACTGGTATAATTCTTTATGATTTGTACTTTATGCAAGTATTATTAACATTGAATATTTGTACTCTCACTCAATTACAAATGTCAAAGACTGAGTGACTTTTATTGCTTGTTCATTTCTCTTGCTAGTCAAGCTCCCGCTCGTTTTTGTTTAGTTTCTTTCTGAGTGAAAATAAGTTGACACACAGTCTACTTGCATCACACTTCTGCACATTTTAATGCAGAATTGCTGTTTTTTTGCTTTTTTAGCATATGTGGGTGGTGCAAAGGTTATGGCATATTTTCTATTTTATGTTTTATTTTTTTCCCAATATGTTAAGATGGAAATTGTGAACCAAAATTTGCAGAAAATGCCATGTTTAAGTTTGTTCCCTGTAGAGGATGTGTTAACTTATTTTCACTTAGGAAATCAATTAGTTGCTGGGTCCGGCCTTCTAGAGCGAAGCAGAAGCAACAGTCCCAACCCTCAAAACAGAGTTTGTTGAAAAGGATTAAGAAAGTCTGGATTATATGAAATGTGATCAACACCGTTACTTTAAAAGTGACTCTTAATTTTGTGGTAAAAATTTACTTTTTATACTTGAACGTAAGCGTAAACGTACAGTCGTATATAAACACGTTGTTTGGAACTATGTTCTGTTGATTTTCTAAGTAAACATAAGTGAACACATCCTCTACGGAGAACACACTTAACACATTTAAATATGATGAAATTTTAGTGCACAATTTCTATTTATTTGCTGTTTCACAAATTGAAAAAAATATATATACATAAATAAAATATGCCATGACTTTTTCACAGGTCACACATTATGTCCCCCTAAACTCGCCCTCCACCATACTTTCAGTTTATGTAGTCACTGTCAAATCTTCAAGAGACAGTATACAGGCAATGCAAAAGTTTGGGTGCCCCTGGTCAAGTTACATGTTTTGTTGATTCGTAATTCGTAAATGAGAGTAATTAACACATCTTCTACATTTTAATGCACAGTTACTGTTTAACCGCTTAATTTAACATATTAGGGAAAAAAAAAACATTGGCTGGTGGTGGCCAAATTTGCAGAAAAATGTTATATTTCACTGTGTTCCCTGTAGAGGACATGTTAATTTATTTTCACTTGGTAAATCAAAAAAATATGAACTTTCACTAGAGATGTTCAAACTGTAGTTATAAAATGACACTTGCAATTTTGTGCATTTCAATATTTTATTTATATCAGTGCAAATAAACACCAGAAAATAAACATAAAAAATGTAAAACATTATGGTTGTCACAAAGATATCATATGAAACAGATTTTTGCTACAAATGCATTTCTCAGATGCACAGCAGTTTGAACCAGTAACAGAAGAGGAAAAAAAAAGAAAAAAAAAGATAAACCAATGCAAATTTTGAGCACTTGTCTCCATTGCCGCATTTGTAGACTGGTGATCCTTTAAATAAGCCTTTATCCATGGGAAAAAAAAGAAAACATTTACTTTAAGACTTGACATTTCCCCATTCCCAGTACTGATACACAGGTGCTTCCCATGCATCTGCATGCAACAGGTAGCAGTGTAGAGATCAGACATAACACGACGTGTTGCAGAACAAAGATTATCATTAGCTCACAACATACACATGCAAAAAAGAGTAGGTCATCTTCTGTCATTTTATGTACATTATTACACAGATATCATATTTACAATCCAAGACAATAAAAACTAGGGATTTTTTTAAACAATACAAAATAGTCATCTTTCATCGTGAAAGCACTATTTACACAAACGTATCTAATCATTGTCAAAACGTATCCATCGTACAGAGGAAAGATGGAATAAAACAGTTCATTTGATAATTTTTTAAGACTGAGCGGTTTGATGGGGCCTTTTAAGTCCAAAAAATAAACCCAGAAAAATAAAAACAGGGCTGGAAGTTATTTCATTGCTCAGACATTACAGAGTTTCTTTTCACAGTAGACTCCCAGGGTCACACGATACTACTATGCTTTCTATGATTGACCATATAGTAGCCACGTATATAAACGGAACAGAAATCATTCCCACAGTTGATAAATTTGTAGTCACATGTTTGGGGGGGGGGTACTAACTTTCCAAAAACGCATTTGACACCATAAGCCTGTGAAATGCTACGTATATGTATATAAAGTACAAAACAATGAATGATACAAAACCGTAAAAAGATACTTTGACAGCTAAAAATATGACACTCAGTTTTCTTTATCCATGCCTTAAACACCAAACAACACCTACAGATTCATTCCTGATCAAAAAATATTAAAGCACTGTAAATTTGACATAGCTTACAAATGTGTTCACTTCACCAGCAATATCATCCCATAAAAAATCCTTTGCATCATTACGTCGATACGTCTTTACTGGGCTCGATTTTGTGGCATGACCAGTCGGTTATCTCAGTTAGAACAGGATGCAAAGTACCTGATAAGTAAAGCAGGTAATTTTACATCTTTTATAGTCTTTGTAGTGACATGACGTGCGAATGCCACGTATGCATCTGATATAGCGTTGTGCTTATCACCGTATAATTGAGTCGGTTTCAGAAAACAGGAAACGGTCCTGATTTAGATGCGAATAAATATGAAATAAATCTAGCAGTAACGTTTTTGGAGTCATCAATAATAAACGCAATAGGATGTTCCTCATGAATGCTTTATATGTAGGAGAGAAAGCTTTTGATAGTTCCATAGTGTGCAGGACAGAGAAATGTGACCTGTATAAAACATACAATGAAACGGGATAAGACAGGATAAGATGCTTACGCTAAACGTGTCTGCAATTGGGCGGAAAAACAATTCTTCTCGGAAAATGTAGGTGATATTAATGGATTTGATATCAGATTTTGGATTAACGTGCATTATATGCTTATCATTCAAAAAAATGAAATAAAAATAAAGAAAAAAAAAACACTAACCATACCAATAAAGTAGCTCACACTCATTACTTAAACAAATCTCAGTCTTTGGCGGTTCAGGTTTACGATTTGTGTAACGAGCCATTGAGGTGCTCACTACCACCGCTTTGTCTCTCGCTGTGGACTAGAGAGCGCTGCATAGCACTCAGTCTGTGCTCAAGGTACCTGCTCTCGGTACACGGCTCTTCTTTAACTCTAACCCCACAGTGTGTCCTTTGCACATGGTCCTGCATCTCTTTTCTGAGCTGACCGTTCCCTCTTTGAAGCATAGAGTACAATATAGGATTTGATCTCGTTAGAGGTGGAGAATCAGGGCTAGATTCCTCCCCACCAAATGCCCACCTTGGTGAGCTTTTGGTCTCTTTTTTCACAGGTGTGGGACTGGGTTTGGGGGAGCCCTTAGCCCAGGGTGATCCTTGGGTGCTGTTTCCCGGTGGGGACGAAAGTGGTCTGAGATCACCAGTCCCTGAGTTAAGAGTCTGGGGGAACCATGGCAAGTTCATGAGTTCAGGATTGTAAGTGGACTGAGAGAAGTTCCCGTTGGCTTTGCAGTTTGCCTGAGGGAGAAAGGGGCTGGGGGTCCCCCGAGGCTGAGATAGCTCTTTCAGACAGTTGTCTGACAAAAGGAGCTGCTTCAAAACATTGAAGCCTTGGCTGTCTCTCGTGGGAGCTTTACCCACAGGACCCTTGATGAAAGAGTCCTCTGCTTTTGGGCTCAGTAGCCTTCTGCTTTTGTGTTCCTCAGGTGTTCCAGACACCAGACGCTCACTCACAGTATCTAGCGGTCTCGTGCAGAGTTCATTGCTGAGGTGTTCAGCCAGCTCTAAGCACAGTTTTTTCTTTTTAGGAAGTGGCTCCTGATAATCCTTCTGCTCCTCCTTCACTGTGCTCACAAGTGGCTCTGTACGTGGACTTGAGTGATAGGTAGTGGTCTGCTGCTTCAACAGCTGGCTGAGAAGGCCGTATTTAGCGGCGGCTTCCGTGGAACACTCCTCCGCTTTGACATTGTCGTGTGCTTCAGCAAGGGGACTGTGTCTCTCATGTCCCAATCTCCACCGGCATCCTCCATCATCAGAGCTGTCTGAGAGAAGACTCTCCTCTCCTGGCTCTGTTTTGATCTTAATATTCAATGAAGGTCCGTTTGAGCTGTCACAGATGACAGAGGCCCCTGGAGGCTTTTCAAAAGCTCCCATGGCTGCCTCTGTGCTTCTCCTCCCACTGGATTTCTCCTTGTGGGAGGCAGTGCCTAGCAGTAGCTGCAGTACAGTGCGCCTCTCCAGGAGGTTCTCAATTTGTGTGGATGCTGGAGGTGACCGCTCTCGTCCAAAAAGTGTGAAACTGGCAGGGGGTGGTTCGAACAAAGGAGTTTTGCTCCTTTTGATTGGAGGAACTAGCCTGTCGAGAAGAGACTGAGGCCTGTCTAGTTCACATTCTGGGCTTTGCCTTTTGCTTGGAGGCCTGTGGACTTGGGGGGAAGGGGGTGAGGGAGACGGGTTCTGTAAACCGCACTGAGCCAGGTTTTGTAATAGCTTACTGGCAATGAAAGCAGGCTCCACCATTTTTTCATTGGTGTGAGGTTTAGATTTACACAGGTCCAGTGGACTGGACTGAACAAGGGCAGAAGAGTAAGAGAAAGGAGAAGGAGTGTTGCTCGTCTCCCCACTGTGAGAGAATGTGGACAGACCCCCACCTGCCAGCCGTTCAAGAGCATTCTGGGTCCTGATCTCTTCCAATGTGCCAAGCCGTTTAGGAGGGCCTCCCGCCATGTTGCTAAAGGTTGCGTCATGCTGCAAATCTGGATTATCTGCAATTTTGTTTACCTTCTCGTTATTTTTGCGGTCCAACAGTAACTGCATGAGAGTGACCTTATGATGGGATTTCATGTCTGGGCTTGTTTCCAGCTCCCTGGCCTCAGGGACCTTTGGCCCGGGAGTCTCCGGCTTCCACTTGTTTATAAGTGTCTCTGTGAGCTTGTCCAAAGATGAGGCGGAGGAGGGGGGCTCTGACTTTTGGCTGCAAATTCGGCTCCTCATGGAGAGGTCAATAGGGGAGCAGCTGGAGTAGCAGCTCTCTGCGTCACTACTGTCTTTGGTCAAGCTGTTCTCCTGGTTGGAGTACTCGCTGTCTGACTGATGAGAGGAAGCTTGGCTGAGAGGGGCAGTGCAGTCATCGTCTAGGTGCCCGTTCTTGGTAAGATGCTTCTGGGAGTTGTGGTTGTTGAGGAGGAGCAGGAGCAAGCTACTGCAGTTCTGCGGAGGCCGGCTGCTGTGCCTGTCAAAGGGGCGTTTCTCTTTAGGGGGCTGCGGAGATGGCCTAGGGGAGCCAGCTGATATGCTTCGGCCCGGGGTTAGTGAGGGGCTCCTCCTGCTGGAATTTAATGTTGGTGAGGGGAGTGTTCCATTTAGGGTGTTTAAGGAGCTTAGCATGTCTGGGGCAATCAGTGACTCTCCCATGCTGGGTGGTCCCTTTTCCTTCGTTTGCTGCGTAGCCATGGCTGCCAGCCTTTCACTGGCTGTTCGGCCAGATAATTGTGCTTTTAAGGCCTGCTCTCTGGAATACTGCTGCAGATGGGCTTCACTAGACAGCAGCAAGGCTAACTGACTGCAGGCCACGCTGGGCTTAGGGGAAGGGGCAGGACTGGACCTGCTCTTCACTAGTGTGGCCACAGCCTTCAACCGCTCTGCGCAGGACATGGAGTCAGGCGCAGAGCTCTGCGAGTTACGAGGGGACTCAGAGCGCCGGTCTTGGCTGCTGCGGCGACTGTAAGGCACGTTATTGTGGCTATGTTGCTTGTTTTTCCTTATCAGGCCTTTGAGACGACTTGAGGCTGTACAGTAGCCCTGGAAGGTGTCCTTGTCAACGGGAGTACTCTCGCTGCTCTCTCCATCAAGCTGTTTGTGACTCTGGGTGATGCACTGTGACATGGCCACCGTCTGTAGGCGTGAGCTGAAGGACTGGAGTAGAGAGGCCAGCAGTGTGCTCTCTCCCTGTGCAGAACTATCCAGGGCTGCTTTATGGTGTTCCTTGACCTGCCCATTCACCTCCATCCTGGGGGTGTCTTTCCTCTGGTTGTCTGTCTCACTCCAGGTCCCTGAACGCAGCAGTCTGGCCTTTTTAAGGTGCTGTGAGGCCGCTCCAAGAGGGCTGCCTTTCTCTGGTGGGCTTGAGCCGTGATTGGGTAGCTGAATGCCCCTGGTCCCCTGGTTTCCCGGCTCCCCATCATTGTTGCCAGCCTCTGATCTCCTTGTTGCCGTGGCACCAGGCCCAGATGCAACCGGATGCATTAGTAAACCTTCCAGATAAGTTAAAACAGCTGAATCCTGGTGTGTCTCAGGGCCAGGCTCCTCCCCATGAGTCATGTTCAATAGCAGGCTCCTCTTGTGTGATTGTTGACAACTACTGAAAATGTCTTACGGACTGCTGTGCCATGGATGAAGAGTGCAGAAAACTCCAAGGGGGTACAGATACTTCCTCTTCGTTCAGTCAGAATGTTTTATACAAAAAAGCACTGGGCATTAGAAATGCCATCACAGGGCGACCCAGCTGGCATTTCTTTGTTCCTGTGACAAACCTACTAAACCCACACAGCTCTGGAGAGGGCTTAGGAATGCAGCCAGCGAGAAGTCAGCAGGAGCCCTCCACTGCCCTGCTGAAGCATTCCATGCTGCTGGATGTTTGGGATGTCTGCCACAAGGCCCAAGGGGCCGTGTGTCGTCTTTCTGCTCCCCTGCTCTTCAGACTGAGCCACAAGGGACCTGCAGTAGAGGGAGAAAACACAGTATGAGTTTCAAGAGTTCCACACGACAGCACACAGCTGAACTCTTTCAACCAAGGAAGCTACTGGTCTGTTCCAAATAATTACGTTACATACGACACATTGTGGCTAAGGTTGGTGTACTGTAGGGGCTTAAAATTTCCTTATGAAAAAGGAAAAAAGGTCATGATAGTATTAGAAATTAAATGCAATATAGAGCTTTTTTCATATCTGTCAAAAAAAGACTGTCTGACTGTTTTGTGAATTATATCACAAAATTTCTACATTTTACAGTATAATGACAACAAGATCTGCTTCCAGCAGAATATTAACCATATGAAACTATGTACTGTGGATGCAGGAAAAAAGGCACAGAAGTTTTGTCTGCTTCTGAGGATTAACTTCAAAAACAGCAGGGGCCTATAGATTAACTTTATATGAATGATGTCAGTAATTCCTAGCAAAAACCCTCCGCTACATGCAGACACATCATGCTACGACACTCAGCAGCAAACCTCTCAATAAATGTGTCTTTGCTTGTGAAGGGCTTTTGAGCACTGTGCCTCTCATCACACATGCAGCCGATCATTTCTGAGGATTATCCTCACACACGCACTCAAGGCACGGCTCACACGACTCGACGCAAGGAGAAGACTTTCTGCTGACTTCATACTAGTTTTTGTATTATTTAAAATGGGAAAGGTTACAAACTGGGTCAGGATAGTAGACCCAGGAGTAAAAACCTCTGAGGAAAAAAAATAGAAAAAATTCTGGGAACTTCCTCAAATATATTTCAATATCTGAACCCTGGTAAACCTACAGCATGCAAAGCAGAATTAGTCCTTAAAGAGTGGGACCACAATGATTATTTTATTTCTTTGGCTTATATTTTATTTATTGTCATTAGGTACACCTACCTAGTACTTAATAATATTTAATAGGGCTGCACCATAAGTCATATTTTTAAGAGCCAACGTGAAGAGCTTCGATGACAGGGTGGATCAAATTAGACTGGCAGGAACAACGTATTAGATATATTTATTTGTTTTTGTAGCTTTTGTAAAAAAAGGTGCTCAGAAAATGTATTGGTTCTGGTATTGTCACATACCCAACAGCATGATACTCAACATCCAACATCTCATACAGTCCTAATACTTGCTGTGCCTGATTCTCTCAAACCAGTGCAACTACTGTTACCAGTACTGTATCAGTATCTCTATCGGCAGAGATACTGACAGAGAAGCCAAACAATGAATGCCATTCATTCAATCTTAATAATATTATTTGTTACACAGAAGCCTGCTTTAAAAATAAGATCGGCTCCCGAGTGGCGCAACCGTCTAAGCGTTGGCCCTATCATCAGGAGATCGCGAGTTCGATCCCTGGTGATGCTACAGCCATCCGTAGCCGGGAGTCCGAGAGAGCACAATTGGCCTCGCTCTCTCTGGGTGGGTAGGATGGCCCCTCTTTCTCCCCCATCACTCAGCGCGATGCTAGTCAGCGCAGGCGTCTGTTAGCTGACGTAACAGATCTGGCGGTTGGCGCTTTCCTCCGAGCGCGTTCGGCTGTCCAGTGACGTTGCGTGAGCCGCAGTTCGAAAAGAAGCGGTGGTTGGCTTCACAGGTCTCGGAGGAAGCCTGTGTTAGCCTTCACCCTCCTAGCGTTGATAGCATTGTGTGACTGGGGGAGTCCTAACTAGCGGGTGGAATTGGAGACGACTAAATTGGGGAGAAAAATCGGGTAAAAATTTAAAAAAAAAAAAAAAATATGATCATTGGTATAAACATTGGAATAATGAGCAGAATGGTTAGACAGAGTTCGGATTAGTATCAATACTCTGGGTCGATAAGGTACCTCGGTATCAAAAAGTGGTATCGGTGCATCCCGAAGTGCAACCACGCCACTACTAATGGTGACATACCAAGAACACATATATGGTAGGTCTACATTATGTCTACCTACCTAAAACGATAAGAGTACCTGATAAACTGACAACTCAGTCTATATCAACAAAAGGTCCTCTTAAGAATTAGCACTAGTAGACTTTCTTTCCTTTTATCAGCGTCAAACACGGATGCATTTTGTCAGCTAAATCTATCTGACAAAGTAAAAAAAACGCCTTGTTGAGTAGTGAGACTGGGTGGCTGTGTTGACGGTTCAGGCAGCGGCTGTAACAGCGGATAGATGTGAAGCCCAGCGGTGTGCAGCGTGATCCCTCCCAAGTCTGGCTTCCTATCTCACACTTTACTGTGTGGCAGTCTCCGAGCAGTCAGTAGATAAAAAGCGGAGAGGTCAGTCCCCTCTGCCTCGGCTCCCGCTCAGCAGTCACTTCCTTCTAAAGCCACTGTCACACGGAGACGGCATACACAGTGCACACACCTTCAGCCACAGGGTACGGGATGCCATGAGATATAGCTGCTCCTCTCTCTCACACCGACTGTGTCAACTCAATGCGAAAGCTGAGCCTAAAAGAGGCTCGACATCCCTGCGTGTGGTCTGGAGGAAGGTGTGTGCTGTGTTAAAATGGAGAGCAATACTTGGGTTCCAACACAGGACGAGACATTATTTGGCGCAACTGAGTTAAACAGGTTTTTGAGATTAAAACACCAAGCACTTAGACGGAGTGTATCTTCTTCCTGACACATACCAAGTGCATGTTTAGCACTACTGCACTCGGCCTGGCATTAGCTGCTTCTGGAGGTGTGAAAGCCCCTTCGGATTGAAGCTGGTTGTCATCGGTCTCTAACACTCCGCCTGGCAGTGGCTTGGCAAGGCTGGCAGGTGTAAAGAGGGGGGTTTTAGTGGGGAGGGGGGAGGGAGAGAGACCTGGTGCACCTGTCAGGCTGCGGCTCCACAGGGCTACAGCATCACAGCTCACGCTCTGTCAAATAGCATGACACTGCCAGTGGCTGTGTGCTCGCAGACCCTGGACCTGATCCCTGTCAACTCTGGCTCCACAAACAGCCCTCACTTCCCACTGTCAGGGCCACTGGCACAAAGGTTAATTAATACAGAGCACTCCACCTTCCCCCGAGTGCCATTCAGTTGCCAGAGACTGTCTTATCCTTCAAGTCGCCCTGCCCCTGGTATCAGCGTAATGTGTTAGGAGCGGACTCGTGAGGAAGAGAGGCTTGATTTTGACCTGTGAACAGCTTTGATTAAAAAGAATCAGCAAACCAGAGCTGATGAAAAACAGCATTTATTTGTGTGTGGCATCAGCCACTTTGCTGCAAAGCTAGCAGGCCTGACACGCGGGTTAGTCTGATCAGTGGCTCCACTGTTAACCTTGGCTGCTACATGTTAACACTGCGCACAGTTGAATCTCATGCAAATTGGAATTCTGGACCGGAAAGGTTAGCCAAAGATCCACGGCTCTAAAAAAAACAACAACACGGAAACCTAATTAATTAATTAAATATTTCAGACTGGCCCACCGGTCTCAGTTACGGGGCTATCCTAAGCCACTGACCCAAATTTGACAACAACAAAAGACACCCTGCTAGAGCCAGGGCCATCTGACGTCTCCTCTTAATCTTAATGGGCAGGATTAAGTCTATTTTCCTGCCACTGGCTTAACTCAATTAAAAAAAGGCACTGTACACGGCGATGTTGCAGGCCAACAAAAGCGCCTGGTGTATTTTTGTAACCAGGGTATCAGGGTATTTAAAAAAAAAAAAACACAAGAAAAATTGGACAGGAACCAAATGGAGCAAAACAGACACAGAGAACGAAGCAAACAGATTAAAGAAAGAGAATAAACGAAGAGCGAAGTCCTTACCAAAGCTGGATTAAAACCAGATCAAAGCAGATCAAATCTCAGCCTACATATGTTTTACCATGACAGGGGGGAAGGGGTGAATAGGCCCACATGAAGTGCGCATTTATGCCGTGTAGGGCAGCGTATGGATATCCCTGCGTGCCCCAGGACAAAGCCCATTAAGACAGCGTGGGAGTCAATGGGATCTGGCACGTGACAAAAGGCAGGGAAATAACGTGTGTAATACATGATCTCACGATGTACATATTGAAAATGACCTTTCGCGTTCGTAAATCCGTCCTCTGCCCCTGCTTTCCACACGCCACCCCGCTGGACATAAAAGGCAGAAGTGTCTCTCTCTCTCTCTCTCTCTCTCTCTCTCTCTCTCTCTCCCCTCGCTCCCTGTCTCCTTCTGACTTACCGGCCTCCAAGTAATTATCCATTATCTCTGACAATGTCAACCAATAACACCCAACAGCATTTTAAGTGATTTCACTCGCCGGTGGCGAAAAAGAAGCAGCGGCAGGCACGAATGCTTTATCATCGCAGCGTGTCTTTCCTCACTCGCCGAGACACCAAGAACAGGAAGGTCACAACATTATCAGTGGCTGAGAGGCAATTTCCAGCTAGGAGTTGAGGAGAAAATGGACTATGCTGCGAGGGCTGGACCTGATGCAAATGTCAGGGATTTGATATCCAAAAGCCAATCTACCATCGTTCAACATGCAGGGTACAAGATTAATTGCAATAGCCTCCCATATACCCCCCCACCCCACCCCAAACTTCAAAAAAAGAGCTAATAAATTACTTCCATTGTCAGAAATTGTAATCCATTTAAGCTATTTAAAATGCGTGATTAATAGAAAAGGAAAAAGCCATGGGATCCGTGGTGGAAGTCAAGGTCGTCCCCATCACCGAGGCTTTTTGCATGGACGCAACAGCTGCTATCCATGCAAAGCTCTCAGTGTTAATAAAAAGTGACAATGCAGCCCTGGCTGTGTATATCACTAATATCGGACATGGGGCTGGCAGATGTGCGCGCGCTGCATTAAAAGGTAAGTCAAGGTTAAAGAAATCTAAAGGAGGAGCCCAAGGCTAAACACTTTTAGATTATGTTATCTGAGGCAGGGGTTGCAGCAGCTACTCAACAGGCCTACCTCGCTTAGACATTCAGTGCAGTATCTGTAAATTCAATATGGCTCAGGAAGATTAAATAAAACAAAAGGCTTGCTACCTGACCAAAT